GGGAGCTGCCGTGGTGTAGTGGTTAGACGTTCGCCTGCAGATCAGAAGGTCGTGGGTTCAGGTCCTGATGAAGTCGGTCTTTTTCAGAATGTGGTTGGCTCCCAGGTCCACCCAGCCATAAATGGCTACCAGGCATAGTACTGGGAAGTAAAGGTGGCCAGCGTGATGTTGACTATATTACCTACCGAGGGCTGACTGGCCTATAAAATATAGGTCCAGTCCTGTATGTCCAGGGAGCCTGAAGGCATTAAAATTGGTATTTTACTGACTTTGTTTTTTATTTATTATTTTTTTTTTTTTAAAGTTTTACTGCTGTTCTGATTCTATGTCACATTTGAGTTGAAGTAAATGAAAAATCTACATCCCAGCAATTTTAGCATTCCCATAAGCGGACCGTACTCAACAGCAGCCAGCGAGAGTCCGATGGTGAATGAATGAAGTTCAACCCCAACAGGACCGCACAGCGAGCGATAAACACCTGGTGACACAAAGTGCCACCAATCGGATGAAAATCATCAGGGTACAAGTCCCAGAAAGATCTTTCAGCAGATAGGGTATAATAGGGCCCTCGGACAACAGCCGGAGTGGGTCTTTGAAAAAAAAATTTTGTCCTATACTGGGATGGTTTCAGTATGAGCAGTCCGATGATTGCCGTAGCTACTGAAAAAAAAAAAAAAACTCATCCCTGACAGGGGTCGTTTTAGGTTATAATTGTGACTAGGTTATGTGTACCAGATAAAATGGCTTAGCATTGCACGCCACCAAGAACCCTGAAAAGAACTCCTGCAGTGTTGATGCTATCAAAGGAGACAGACCCAAATACTGTCACGACTGACGACGAAGATGTCTACTGGCGAGCCACTTAGCCACCCGGTCGCCGATGTGAGTCCGATGGTGATTGACGTTCAACGCCAGCAGGGCCGCACAACGAGAAATAAACATCCGGTGAAACCACGCGCCACCATTCGGATGAGGATCACCCAGGTACAAGTCCCAGAAAGCCCGTTTAACCGTTAGGTTATATCAGAGCCTCGACTACAGGCGGAGAGGGGCTTTAAAATAACAAAATTTTGCGTACGTGTTAGTTCCACGTTAGTCTCCCCAAAGAGAGTAGATCTTTTTGCATTGACACGTTTTTTGGGTTGGTCGACTTGCCTGAAGGTTACGGGTGTGTCACGCTCTGTTCTTTGGTTTCTGCGATGTCTTGCATTTTTTTTCCATTCTGGGAAAGAGAATGCCTGTGACATAGGTTGCAGCACTCTCTAGGGGGTTGTGTTAGACCCAGTTTCTCCATGTTTTTGGAGTGTTAAAAGCGCCAACGTGCTGAAATATACAACACGCGATATCAGTGGCATTGCGGAACACCACCGTAACCGTGTGCGAAGGTTACGGAGCTCAGGAACGACCAATCAAAAGTGAGCTAGTGTGAATATGGGTGGGGCCTGGTGAGACTATCGTCGAAATAACCTTGCGTCCGATATTGGGGCGAGGTTATTGATAGGTCCGATGGTGCCAGTAGCGGACTTCTGATACTTTGGTCTTGTCCTTTCCCTGAGTGTTGAGTGCCAGATTTCCTCGTGCAACATTCTCATCAGACCTTGATGATCTATTTGTGTCTCCGCGCTATTCACTCGCTACAAGAGGGCCTTAGCAACATCTAGCGTGTCTTGCATCTCTGCACCATTGCGTGGTGCAGAAGCAACCAATCTAGTGCTCTGTTGGTTTCCCAGTACACCTGCATAAATATCAAAAGAAGGCTAACTACAATGGACCTCTGAAGCAATTCCTGCCGCTCTGCACGTAGTATACCTGTTCCAGCCAACTTTATTAATATGCTTTGTGAGTCAGTTACAGTCACGACATATGTGTTGTTGTTTTTTACCCCACATAGGGCTAGATGTCTATTTGGTGTCAGCGTTTCGTTATTTCTACTATTTTGCACTGATGCCATATTTGCACTAAGACAAGTCTGTGAAAAGACACTCGAATACGATAAAGAGCTAAACGTGGTCTTTGTAGATCAAGAGAAGGCATTCGACCGTGTGGACAGAGATGTGCTGTGGAGAATTCTTGACGATTACGGAGTGCAGGGTCAATTATTAGACAACATCAGAGCCCTCTATGAAAAAAGTGAAAGTGCAGTAAGAACATCTAGTGGTCTTTCTGAATGGTTCAAAGTCACAACTGGTGTCAGACAAGGATGTGTACTGTCACCATTACTTTTCATAACATACATGGATAAGATCACTGTAGAAGCAAACCCAGACGTGTATGCTATAAACGAATTACTTTTTGCTGATGATCAAAGCATACTGTATCAAAATGAATATGATCTACAGGAACATCTGTCTACTCTCAACAACAGCTGTTTACAACATAATATGAGAATCAGTACAGAAAAAACAGAAGTTATGAAGATCAGCAGAACACACAGGCCACTGAATTTTGGAAGTACCAAAATCAAGCAAACCAAAGAGTTCAAATACTTGGGCAGTATATTTACAGAGGATGGAAGAATGGACAGAGAGATAGAAACAAGAATACAGAAAGCAAATGCTGTCACATACCAACTATCACCTCTGCTTAAACATCCAGATATAACCATGAAGACCAAAAGACAATTGATAAACACCATCTTCATTCCAACACTCTGCTACCAGTGCCAGACATGGACAATCAACAAGACTCATGAAAGAAAAATAGAAGCCTGTGAAATGAATTGTCTAAGAAAAGCAGCGAACAAGACCAGACTAGACAGGATAAAGAACATAGACATTAGAAACACTGTCAAAACTACACCATGTTTAGACTACATAGAACATCAAAGAATGAAATGGTTTGGACATCTAACCAGGATGAAAAATGACCAAATAACATCACAAATTTTCAACCAAAGAAGCTCAGGATATAAGGCAAGAGGAAGACCAAGGAAACGGTGGATTGACGGGGTCTCCGAAACCTGCCAAAAGCATGGCCTCAGAACATCAGATGCTGCCCGCCTTGCTTATGACAGGAACTTGCATCTCCCCCACAACGCTTAGCGGCATACGTGGAAGGAAAAAGTAAAGTAAGTAAGTAAGTTTTGTTATTTTGAATGGAATCGTGTTCATCACTTTTTGCCTCTCTTCTGGGGGGTGGGGGGGGGGGCGGTGTGTGCCTACGTCCTCGTTTCCCCAGTCTACTTATTTCATATTCCGTGCCTGTTTACACGTTTAGAGAAAAACGAAAATGAACAAAAATTGTGTTTTGGTTTATGAAAACGTCATGTACCACTGATGCTCTTCTGGTCACCTACCTGCACTGCACAACAAGTGGCCTTCCGTTAGGAAATTCACATCTGCATAGAGTCTGGTTCCATGTGAGGCCTTCCTGGCAAGTCTGTAGGTACCATTGTTTGTCGTGGTACACCTCATAAGCGCCAGGTATGTCCAGTTTGGGACGGTGACTACCAGAGCAGTCTGAATAGAAAACATTCTTCATTATAATTACCCTTGTAGACACCAGTTTGTGGTTGTAAACTTCTTTAGTATATAATAAACAAATAGGCATTCTAGTTACCCAATTACCCTTGTAGACACCAGTTTGTGGTTGTAAACTTCTTTAGTATATAATAAACAAATAGGCATTCTAATTACCCAATTACCCTTGTAGACACCAGTTTGTGGTTGTAAACTTCTTTAGTATATAATAAACAAAAAGGCCCTGCTGGAGGTTGAATGCAGTGCATCCACTGATGTGTTTGGCAATATTACGTGATAAGGCCCCAACCTCTTTCAGTGTGCGACTCTCGTACCACTGTCTGAGAGTCACGGTCTGTTTTCCAAACAACCCGCCGTGGAAACTATACTTTTTGCGTCGTGAAATGGATAAAAAGTATTAACGTCAGGTCTGCCTCGTTTGGATCGCTGTCAAAGAAAGGATTTTCTGCAGTAAATTTTCTTCATTCTAATCAACGCTCTAGAAAGAAGTTTGTCGTTGTACTCTTCATCAGCTTCTGGAATGTCTGGACTAAGTGGCTAAGAATGAAATCTGGCAGTACGTACTCTTCATTCTGCTACTGGTGAATAACACTGTAGAAATCAATGTTTGTCTAGGTAAACCTCTTCCTGTTGTCCCAGGCTAATTTCTGAGCAGTGAAGCTGAATATTATTTACTGTGAATTTGAAAAACAATACAAGGTCCTTTTAACATCATTCACGCATTAATCACATTGGGTGCACATTGTAAGTAAAGAACCCTGTCTCTACGGTCCGTTTGACACATGATACTTGACTCATACTTTCAAAGACCAATCGGCACTGATGCTCAACATCAGAAGCGATATTTTACTTCGCAGAACATATTTTCATAACTTCACATATTCGTTTGAGCAGCCTGATTTTTAGAATTCGTGAGTGCATGTGGATTATTACTTTTACGGCATCAATAAACACTGCGGTAAGCTCGGAACACTTTTTCTCGAGACTATAAAAAACACATTGGGTACTGCTGTAGATTTCTGACTTATCTTTAGTTTTGACAATGGCTACAGTATTGTCGCCTATCAATGCCTTTGCGCTATCAGTGCATATCCTTGTACAGTTTTCAACGGCAGTTCGTTTGATGAGAATAATTTATAAACACATTTACCGCAAATGTAACACATGAGACAAAGAGAAATAAAGCGACAGCAAAATGTACTATTCAAGATGTAATCTTGATATTTACGGAGAAGCAAAGAAAGAATTCATGACACGCATTTGCAAGATAACAGCAGTTTGTAAAACATGAATCTCTGAATGGCAGTTTTAGAATCAAGTTATGTATTTGTGATTCTAATGCTAGTTCTGTTTTAACATATACTAGTGAAAATTAGAGAACTCCAGAAGACATGGAACGACAGTAAAACGCATTTTAAAACAACGCCTGAGGATGTTGAATGTTGAATTAAAAACTGACATCACAGCACTCGGGACTCTCCCATAAGCCCTCCTTCCCTATCTTCAGCAGCAAGCGAAAAGTTCAAATTCTGATGGTATTTGTAACTGTTTGTGCATCCGTCTCGCCTTTCCCTTAAATGATGAGCGCCAGCCACATTTCGTAGTAAATCCCCGCAGCGCCATTCTCATCTGATCGTAATGATTTGTTTGTGACTCCGCACTATTCACTCGCTCCCAAAGGGGCCAAGTGTCCCACAGATTATTGCAAGTTGTGCTGTATAAACGATCTTTCTACGCTAAGGTTTCGGCCTGGCCAGACTAGAAGGGAACAGATTCAGTAACACGTTGGAGGGCACCAGGATAAAATAATAAGGAGAATGAACCGGACGGAGGATTACCCACGAGGAAAAACATCAAAAAGATAAGGATAAGAGGAAGAAATTGGGACACAGACAGAAAAGAGCGGTCTAGATACTTGTATTAGGATAGGAACATAAAGCCCGAGAGCTGGCGCACACACCCCAAGCTTAGCCACTCAAGTGGCGTAAACAAACCAGATCACAAATATTTCCATAATGACCTTAGCCTTGAGTGGATACCGGGTTCTGTCCCGGGAAGTAAAGGCTGGCGGCGTGATGCTGACCACATCACCCATCTTGTGCCCATTGGTCTATAAAAATATAGGTCTAGCCCTATATGCCCATGCGCCTAAAGGCGTGGAAAAGGTACCTTTACTTTATAAATATATCTGGAGACTGTTAGTGACTTGCTGTCAACAGCAAGTTGAATGTGGACGAGCTTTTTTTTCTTTCGGTTTTTCCCCCCTAAGAATGGAAATGGACATGAAAAGTAACGCTTCTGTCTCTAGCACATAAGGATTCACATTTTTAACATTTTGGCCACTGAGTAAATTTGCTTTGCAGATGTTGCTGACCCAGTCCCATTATATATATATATATATATATATATATATATATATATATATATATATATATATATATATATATATATATATATATATATATGCCATTGTGTCTAAACAGTCGGATATCGATACCACTGTCGAAACTAAGGTAAGGCGGTCTACTGCTAAATCTCCTGCAGCAGAGATCCAACCTGGCACCTCGGTATCACAAAATGCTCTCGCAACGCCTAAGTCACAGACGGCTTACATTCTTTAACTAAAGCAACGCTTTCCTGGTGTTAATCCAAATTCTTTGAAATGTTTCTCAGCCAAAAGATTTCTCTATCCCTAAAGTACAACTGACAGAATGTACACACATCTTAGTGTGTTGCGTCCTTGACAGTAGTGACATGTTTATTGACAATATTTTCCATTGTTGTTGTTTTATCTCTGTGTTTGTGCTGCTATCAACATTTATAATTCATACTGTTCTTGAAAGCCTGTCCGGGAAAATTGTCAACAGAGAATAAATTAGAATATTATGGATTTATAGAAAGATCACATAGTCTCGTACGCAGGCACTCATGCCGACAAACAAAAACACAAAATACACACAGATAAGACTCTCTCTCTCTCTCTCTCTCTCTCTCTCTCTCTCTCTCTCTCTCTCTCTCTCACACACACACACATACACACACCACACACATTAACTTATTGATGCTAAAATCGATATTAAAATATCATAATTTGGTACCCTAACATATTGTTCTAACAACAATAATGTCTTGCCCTCATCTCCTATCTCTTTTGTAAATGTTGTTACTGCTGTTATTGCTCTCGATTTCTTCTTGTTTTTTTGTTCTTCTTCTTGTTCTTGTTTTTCAGGTTCTTTGTTTTGTTCTTGTTATTCTTCTTTTTGTTCTTCTTTATGTTCTCCTCTCTCTCTCTCTCCATTTTGTCCTCTTCTTCCACTACTACTACTACTACTGCTACTACTACTACTACTACTACTACTACTACTACTACTACTACTACTACTACTACTACTACTACTACTAATAATAATAATAATAATAATAATAATAATAATAATAATAATAATAATACCACCACCACCACCACCACCACTACAACAAATAACAACAACGACAGCAACACGTACTACTACTAAAACCACTGTTGATGCTGCTGCTGCTGCTACCACTACTACGGATACTATTGTTACTACTTCATCGTCGTCTTCTGTTTCTCCCCGGGTTTCTTTTCATCTTAGCCATCATAGTTCTCCTGTTAAATTGACCTTGATTTACCGGTCTGGAACGATCCTGATGTTTCACAAGGGGCAGGAGTAGACATTGTGTGTAGTTTTAGTTGGCACACAAACGGAGCACCTATCCGGTGGCCCGTTTGCTATGAAGTTGTAACAGCGATGACCAGGTGACCTGAGTTCTGTTGTTAATTATGCTGCTTAAACAAGACGTCTCAGTGTCTGACTGCTGTATTAGCGTGGTCTCGAGGCATGGTGTCCGCCTCCAGTGCTGGAGGTCCCGGGCCTAGGATAAGGCTGGGATATTTTCACCTGGACTTTTAGTAATTTCTCCTGGTCTCTGGGTAGTAAGATCAGATGCCCGTGTGCATTGTTGCGCACGAAAAAAGCCCTTGACAATTGGAAATGGAAGAGAGTAGACTAACGGTTCTGCCTGGGCAAAATTTTTAGTTAAAAATCTACCAAAAATATTTCGGGATCCTCGCCGGTTACACGGAACCCGTGCACTGCGCTGAGCTACTTCGGACTCAGACCTGAGAGCATTTATTGGTTACTACCCTTGTGTCATGATGTTGATCCGTTGTTTAAACCCAAGCCCCAAACCTGTTGTATTAGCCTGCGGGTTTCTATGCTCGAACTCATCATCATCATCATGTGTCCTGCCAACTGGCGTAGGAACTCATGCGTCTCCACAGATCACGATGCTCTGGTTCCCTGGAACAGCTCTCTTGATGATATCCCTCCATGCCATCATTTCAGCCCATCTAGCATCGTCTCTCTTGGTCTGCCTCTACCCCTTTTCCACTCATCTTTCCAGTTGTCATGATGTTCTCCAGTGTCTCTCTTCTCATTGTGTGGCCAAAGAACAGTGTTTGTCTCTTTATTATTGTTGTATATAGAGATCTACTTTCATTAGGTTTTTTTTCCAGCAATCGCTGTTAGTTACTCTGGCTGTCCAAGGTATTCGTAAAATTCGTCTCAGAAAGCGAATCTCTGTTGCTTCTAAATTCTTTCTAATTTGTTCACTGACATTCCAAGATTCGCTGCCATACAGCAGAACAGGTTCTGCATAACATGTTAGCACCCTCTTTTATGCTCGAACTACCCCCCACTAATACTTATAGCTCACCAACGTATCTGACTCTGTAATAAGTGAGCTACGAGATGGCCACTGACATTGAACATCAGGATTATACACTAAGATTGGCGTAAGGCATGTGCCGATATGGATGTGGTACCTGAGACAGAAGATCACGTCCTCCAAGACTCTCCCCAATACAAAATATCAAGGGAAAACTTCTGGCCAAGAGAAACACCGGTTGAGGCCAAACTTTACGGGTCGCTTGGTCAATTACAGGAGACAGTAAA